AGTCTTTTACAACAGCATTTTAAATGCCCGCAATGTATTCCTTTGTATTTGCAGTTCTTTGCTTATTCGATCTGATACCATGAGACATTTAGGTTGTTTTCATCTTTTAACTACTTGCAATAAAAACTAACAGCGGCTGGGCACGGTGGCTCACACCTGTAATCGCAGTAATTTGGGAGGCCAAGGCAGGTGGATCATGAGGTCAGGAGATCGAGACCATCCTGGCTAACGTGGTGAAACCCCGTGTCTACTGAAAAATACAAAAAAATTAGCCAGGCGTGATGGTGGGCGCCTGTAGTCCCAGCTACTCTGGAGACTGAGGCAGGAGAATGGCGTGAACCATGGAGGTGGAGCTTGCAGTGAGCCGAGATCATGACATTGCACTCCAGCCTGGGTGACAGAGTGAGACTCCATCTAAAATAAAAATAAAAATAAAATAATAATAATAAAAAAACTAACAGCTTATGGCAACATCTTCTGTATAAATATTTCATAGGATAAATTCTGAGAAGGGGAATAGCTAAGTCCAAGGGCATACATGTTGTAAACTTTAGAAAGTTTAAACCAATTTACATTTTGCCCCAGCAATTGCTCAAAGTCTGGCATCTATAAATATGGGGTGTTATTTGTCAAGAGTTTTGAAACAACTTAAGAATCCACAAAGCTGGCTTTGTGCAAACCTCATTAAAGCATCCCCGTGCTTGATCTTCAACTCCCTTCACCTCATCTCGTCCCCACCCTTGACTCACTCAGCTTTACGTCTCTCTTAGAGCACTCTTAGTTTCCTCACGTAAATAACTATTGCTGCCATCATTGGATACACTCTCTGGAACCTGACAACATCTATCTCCTGACTATATAGGAATTGAGCAGGATCTTATTCTGTTTCCTAAACACAATCATACTGAGTGCAACGACACTGTCTGCTTGACTGCTTTAGCAGACTCTGACAGGTATTATTTGTAAACACCCAATACTCTTTTCCATATCCCTTCTTTTAGCAGCATCCCTGTCGTTTTCCAAACCTTTGTTTTAAGGAACAGCCCCCTACCCTCCAGTTCCATGTGATACTAGTGAGGGCCCTTCATCATAGTGACTCATTCTCTCTCCTAATGAGTGAAATCAAGATCCATTCTGAACCTATAACAGTAGCATATTCTTCTGAACAGAGAAATTGGTATAACGGACAGACACAGGACACACGAAGGGCCAATCAGAGTCTCTCTCTGAGCTCAATATATAAATTTTGAGTGAAGAAACTTCTCTCCATGTGGCTACTAAACTATGATTATGACCTGTGGTACTGCTGGCACCTATCTTCCCCAGATGTCTAGAGAACGTTGTCTGCTCCAGAAGTAGTCCAATACACCCAGAGGACAGAGATGAGCAGATCAAGAAATCTGATGACATCATTGGCCCTGCATTAGCAGTGCTTGAAGTCAGCACCAATAGACATCTGAGTGAAAAATAAAATAAATAAATAAATAAATAAAACCCGAAAACTTGTTGGCCAAGGACAGTTTCATTGGTTTTCTGCTTCTAGTGATTAGAAGAGTCCTGACTAGCATAGTCATAAAATGAGCAAAATTAACAATATATATCTTGAGTTTGGATTAGGAAGGCATACAATCCGGAAATATTATATGGTAAATAGGGCAGGAATGGAGTTGGGTTGTAAAATAATATAAATAATAGTAGTTGTAAGAGAATGATGAATGCAAAATAACTCTAAGAAAGATATTCATTTTTAAAGGCAACATAATGAATTTAAATAAAAGAGACAGAGCGTGGAGACTCAGCTATGGTTTCAATCTACCTCTAGACAGCTACATGTCCTTGGCCAATTCACATCACCTCTTAGGGACTTCATTTCCTCATCTAAAAATAAGTACACTGAATAGTTTAATTCTAGAATCTCATATACCTCTAAAATCTAAGTTAACAGCCTCTAATACCTCTAAAATCTAAGTTATAGCACAATTACAGTTATTGTGCTATAACCTGTGTTTCTAGGAAATGCTATTTTCTGATTGGCTTAGGCCTGAGTTACTGCCTGTTGAAGGGAGCAAGGGTGATATTACACTGCACATGGAGGTGTAATGAAGCATATTACATTTGCTTTATTTTACTATTGATATTTTTCTACTCACACTTAACAAGTCCAGAATCCAAATCTGTCAATTAAAACCATCATCTTATTAGATCTTTTAGTCCTTAATAAAGATAAAAGAATAATTTTCCATTTTTTGTAGTTTTATGTGCATATGGACTCTGCAGAGGAATTTCTGAAAAATAGCTCTTGAACAAGCAGCTATTTCTTAGCCACAATTTACAGCATATTTGCCATATGGAGTCCAGGGTCAGTACTGGGTAAGCTCAATTGTTACCATATTGAGTGCATATGCACAGTGGGTGGGCAAGTTCATAAGCAGGGCCTTAGACAATGATTGCAGACTAACTAGTCTAGAGGCCAAAGGGTACCTATGCATGCAAAATGGTCCAAAGAGGTCTGTAGAAACCTGGAAAACGCATGCCTTGTCTGAAGTAGGCAGCTGCTACTCAGCTCTATTGTTGCCATGAGGGAGTGTGTGCTCAGCACTGCCAGAGAGAATGTCTGATTCAAGGGAAGCCAGAAATCTGTACTTTTTAATGCAAAATCTCCTGATTTTTAAAATATTGGCAACTTATTCAAAATTTTAAAATTATTATGCAGACCAACAATGTGTGGTCCTAACAAAACCCATCTGTGGTCTACCAGATTGTGACCTCTGCTCTAATAATTGTTCTAGAAGGGGTCAAACATTCAGAAGGAATGGTGATAAGTCAAGGTCATTCATAACCTATATTAATTTTATGAAATGCTCAATGACTTCATCATCCATTAAAGTGGGTATTTTAGGACAAACACAGATGTCTTCTAAAATCAGTGTGTGGTATTGTAATTGTGTCCTCACTAACCCCTCCTCTAACGTGTAATAACCATGTGGCTTGGGTGGAACAGATTCCAATCCCACCGTACAATAAGAAATGTATTTTATTTCATTTCTTGGTGGTGCATTTCTTAATGTAGTTTGCATTTGAAAACACTCAAGAAGAAGAGAGCTATAGAATCTATCACACACATACCATTTCTGAGAAAATACTCAAGTGAATATTACAGTTGACTCAGTAATATAAAAAATATGGAGCTGAAATGTCACTAAGCAAACTATAGTGACTATTTATAATCAGTTAAGGTTCTAGTTTGCAGAAATTAATTTAAGTTAATTTAACTAAGGTAAATTTGAACAGAAAAATAATCTATTGGGAGTATACTGGGTACTATATTATTTATCTATTGCTGTACAACAAATTCCTGGTGATTTAAAACATCGTTTATTGTCTCACAGTTTATATGGAAGCACAGCCTGGCAGGTCCTGTGTCTTTGGATCTCTTGTACGTCTGCCATCAAGATGTCAGCTGGGGCTGCAATCACCTTAAGGTTCAATTAGGTATGAATCTATTTCCAAGCTCATTCAGGTGGCTGTTGGCAGGATTCAGTTCATTGTGGGTCATGGGACCTCAGGCCTCAATTTCTCATGAGCCATTAGTAGCCTCCCATAGTCCTCTGCCACATGGACTCATAGGGTGGAAACCACTGCAGTAGTCACTGAATACTGCACATCTCCTCCGGTGCTGCCAACTCAGCCAGTTCTGAACTCTAGATACCCTCTACAACATTATTTAGAATTAATGTCTAATTAGCTATTGAAATAATCTGCAAATACTGTAAAAATTATGAAAGTATTTTTTAAAGAGATGTAAAATTAAAATAATTTATTATAATCACAAATAATAATAACCTGAAACTATCAGAAGAATTAACTTTTTTTATCCTACAAAGGGAGAATTAATAAATGATGGTATATACATAATTTTTAATCTTTTATTGTGAAAAAGTTCAAGCATAAACAATAAAAGAGAATATTGTTATTAACCCTCGTGTATCCCCATCCAGCACTGGTGATTATCAACATTTTTTTTTTTTGGTCAATCTTCTGTCATCTCTTCCATATACTTTTTTCTGGCTAACATATTTTAAAGCACATTCCAACCAATATAAATGATATGATATTGATGCTAATAAATAAGTGGCATTCAAAATTATTTTTAAAAAATTTAAGGCCATAATTAAATTTATGTTTGTTAAATGTCTACTGTATGCCAGACATCTAGGCAAACATACAATGATAAGAATTTAATATAATTTTTCAAGCTAAATCAGTGAGTGTTTATGTGCTAAATAACACAGTTTAAAAATATACATAATAAAATTTGTGAGAAATTATACTAATAGATTGAAAAAAATCAGATAATCTATGTCTCTCAGTCTTCTACAAAACAAGCTAACAAATATAATATACATTATATAATCTAGCATTATATATATTGAGCTTTTTACACGTGGACAATGCATATTCTTTTCAAAATTCATGATGCATTTTATAAAAGGGTTTCTTAATATGTTCCAAATAATACAAGTAATAAAGGCACGTTATTTGACTACAATATAATAAAAGTAAATATTTGTATGGCAACAAAACACAAATAATAAATAAAAGTCTACTTATTAACTAGAAATAAAATGTACACTACTGAGTCACAGAAAGTCACAGCATCAATAGCAGACTAATTAGAAAGCACCCGTGACCTGTAAGCATGACAACACAACCTTTAAATTTATGAGAAGTACTTACACTTTACTCAGAATAAAATGCATACTTTTAAATACTTTCATTATCCAATAAGAATTAATAAAAATAAGGCCGGGTACAGTGGCTCACACCTGTAATCCCAGCACTTTGAGAGGCCAAGGCAGGCGGATCACCTGAGGTCAGCAGTTCGAGACCAGCCTGACCAACATGGAGAAACCCTGTCTCTACTAAAAATACAAAATTAGCCAGGCGTGGTGGTGCATGCCTGTAATCCCAGCTACTCGGGAGGCTGGGGCATCAGAATCGCTTGAACCCAGGAGGGGGAGGTCGCAGTGAGCTTAGAGACACTCCATCTGAAAAAAAAAAAAAAAAAAGAATTAATAAAAATATGTGTCAATTATCTATTCATTGCCTCTTGGCTCCAAATTTACCCTTTGTAATTGCTCTGTAAAATGAATCTGGGTTGGTCTTTCGAATATTTTTTGCTTGCTGGCTGGCACTGAAGATTTATCAGTAAAGAGTGTTGGAGAGACACTGCAATAGGAAAAGGATCTTGCTTCCTGGTTCTGGTGTGCTTACAAGGCAGGTTCCTAAGAGAGTGAGTGGGTGGCTTTCTCCAGCACCAGGCTCCTGAAGCACTCATAGCTTCTTGAGGGCTCAACTGTTGCAGTGCATGGCAGCCACAGCACCTAGAGGTTAGCAGCCTGCCAACTGCAGTGCTTGCAGTTTCTCCAATGCCAAGCTCTTATACTGCAGTGGACAGTAGCACTCAGGGGCCAGAAATTCTCCCACTCCATGCCCCAACATCCCCTTTGGGTGCTTTTGTAGCAGAGTGAGACATCTTCCTGTGAATGATTTTTCCTAGCATCCTAAAGGGCAGATTTTTGGCAAGTTTCAGAGAGCAGATTTCCAGCAAGTTCCACTGAGGTAGTATCACAGAGACTTCTTTACCATCCAGTGAGCCAAGAGGGCATTCTCTCCAACAAGGTCAGGTGTCAGTCACAGGGATCGGGCGGGGCAGAGAGTGGAAGCTTCTTGCTTGGGTGCTCTATCTCAACCCAGAGAGTAGTGGCTGTTCCTTATATGTGCTCTTCCTGTGTTTAGTGTTCTTTTTACTTCTTACCAGCCAATCCCTAATTACTTCAGTGCCTTAATATGGTTAATAATTCTTTAAACTAAACCTTCCCTGTTCAAATTATGTGACTTATCTCCCTCTTCTAATTGGTTCCAGACTGATACAAACTATTCAATTCAAGAAATTAGAAAAAGAATAAAACAAAAGAAAGAAAAACAGAAGACATTACTAGTGATAAAAAAGAAATAAATAACTTAGAAAAAAGAGTCAGCAGAATTGATAAATACATATAAGAAACCTTTAAAAAAAGTTGCCAAATTTAAATAGGCAAGCTCGTATGGCAATATTAATCAAATAAATAAAAGTGGCCGGGTGCGGTGGCTCAGGCCTGTAATCTCAGCACTTTGGGAGGGTGAAGCAGTCGGATCACTTGAGGTCAGGTGTTCAAGACCAGCCTGGCCAACATGGCGAAACCCTGTCTCTATTAAAATTATACCTGTAATCCCAGCTACTCAGGAGGCCGAGGCAGCAGAATCACTTGAACACGGGAGGCAGAGGTTGCAGTGAGTTGAGACTGCATTACTGCACTCCATCCTGGGTGACAGAGTGATACACCATCTCAAAATAATAATAATAATAATAATAGTAGTAGTAGTAATAAGAGTATACAAATGCAGAATATTAAAAATAGGACAGAAAATATAACAAATCATAGAAACAGAGGTGATTAAGGCAGTTAAGAGAAGAATTCAATACATCTGAGAAAATGCAAAACCAAAAATTGATTCAAGAAAAGCTATAAAATCCAAATACATAAATAACCCTGAGAGAAATATTAGAGAGCCATCGCACCAAAAAAAGCCTGGTTCAGGCAGTTTCACTGTGAAGTTTTCCAGTTTTCAAAAAGCAAGTGAGTCAGTCTTAGGCTCTTTAAACTGTTTCAGAGTGTATGGAATGAAGAAAAGAGTATCCTCATTGTAACACTTCTGTAGGTCTCATAGTAAAGTACAGACAGTAATATCTGTGAGGCACTAAGATTAAGAGTAAACATGAATAAAGCAACTGATTCAGTGATGTATACACTAAGAGAAAAGGAGGGAAAGAAACACTGCTGTTGAGGTGCCTATTACTAGTGCCAAAATACTACTGTAAGACATGCCGTCTGGGCAAAAGTGCCCCCAAAGAAAGTTTGGTTACTTTTTTTTTTTTTTGAGACGGAGCCTCGCTCTGTCACCAGTCTGGAGTGCGGTGGGGCGATCCTGGCTCACTGCAATTTCTTCTTCCCAGGTTCAGGCGATTCTCCTAGTTTGGTTACTTTTTAAAAAATAATCACAGAGTGAAATAGGCCTCTCTATAATATCTATATTAGGGGACAGTAATAGGAGTTAAAGAAAAGCTATGAGAAGATGATATGGCCAATCCACAAAGGAAGGGAGGGACAGGCTAAAACACTCACTCTGAGTTGAGCACAAATTCTGGTGTGGTTCAAGAAAATACTTACTGAAACATTTGCTGTAAATCTGTATAGCAATGAGCGCATTAACATAGTCAAAAGACAACAAGCTAGGAAAACATTTGCAAGCCATATAGCCAGCAAAAGCCTATTTTCCTACATACTCAAGGTGTTCACATTGAATAAGGAAAGGATCAACTGCCCAACATAAAAATGCACAAAGGGTATGAACAAGGGTTATGAACATTGATGCATGAAAAAATATATGTAAGTAGTATATACACACATACACACATCAAAGCTTTGGCTTGGAAAATTTCCTTTTGCTTATCAGAATTCTACTTATCATACCCTCAAGAAAGGTTCTAGAGAGCTCCTTTAGCATCCCTAATTTGATGCTCAGTGTTAATATCCCCTCTATTCAAAGGGAAATATTAAGGGTTTCTTTAAACAAATAACATCTGTATGTGAAAAAGTTAATATTACCCAAAGTCAAACCAAAATTTTCTAAAAGTGAGATGTAAAAGTCATCTATATCAACATCACCTGGATGATTTATAAAATGCAGATTCATGGGCTCTGCTGTAGCCCACAGAATAAAAATCATTTCAAGACCATAAGACCAGTGTGGTCTAAGCAGGAGTCGACCTTGAGTGCTTTGAAAATGCTTCTCAACCAGGCACGGTGGCTCACGCCTGTAATCCCAGCACTTTGGGAGGCTGAAGTGGGCGGATCACGAGGTCAGGAGATCGAGACCATCCTGGCTAATACGGTGAAACCCCATCTTTACTAAAAATACAAAAAATTAGCCGGGCATGGTGGCGGGCGCCTGTAGTCCCAGCTACTTGGGAGGCTGAGGCAGGAGAATGGCGTGAACCCGAGAGGCAGAGCTTGCAGTGAGAAAAGATGGCATCACTGCATTCTAGCCTGGGCAACAGAGCGAGGCTCTCTCAAAAAAAAAAAGAAAAAGAAAATGCTTCTCAGGCAATTCATATGTTCATTTGACTGTGAGAATTCAGCCCTTGTGAATCAATAATAAATGTCTACCTTTGTTTTTATAGATTTTATAAGGTGTTTTTCACAAGCATTTTAAAATTTCATGCTCACATCCAGTCTGGGTGGCTGTCTGGGCTAGGAGTATTAGCTCCACTTTCAAGATAAGGAAATTAAAGTCAGAGAGATTTAGGGACTTATTCAAAGATTCACCTAGAAAATGGTAGAGCTCAGATTTCATTATATTTTCATGACTACAAGTTCTGTCTTTATCCATACGTAGAGCTCATACAAACCCCCTAAAACTCACATTTCTTCACATTTGCAGAACCAACTCACAGTGGTTCTTCAGAACAAAGTGACAACAACAGGTAGAAACAGCAGTAGTAAAGGATTGCAAGTACCTTGGGAACTCCTGGCTCCATGAGGCAGAAGTTGATCTCACAGATGTGGAAACTGATGGCCAGATGGTTGAATGGTTACACGGCTGTCCCTTCAAGAAGGAAGGGTCAGGAACATATCTATAATAGGAGACAGTGATAGGAATTAAAGAAAAACTATGAGAAGATGAGATGGTCAACCCACAAAGAAAAAATGGAGGCACAGGCTAAAACACTCACCCTGAGCTGAGCACAAGTTCTGGTGTGGTTCAAGAATAACTGAGCCAAAGACACTCAGCAGCAGAAGCAGCAAGACCAGTATCAGTGACAATGACCCCAGGCCAGAGACAAGAAGCCAAGCACGTCACCAGAGCCTCTGCCTCCATGGATTCTGTAGTTGGATGACTCACATGTTTCTGTAGCCCCTTTCTTCCCAGATGCTCAAGAATCCCACTGCAGCAGAATTTGCTCTTGATCCACGGCCAGGCCTGTGAATCCCAGCATAAAGACCTCAGGAGAGATTCTGGTAGCCCCAGCTACAGACTTGCTCTCTGCTCCTTACGCTGGGGACTTTATGCCAGTGTCTGAGTGTTTCCCTGGCCCCACAGTCCACCTTGCATCTACATACCCCTTTAGTGACCTCTATATGTATCTCTTTCCCTAGAACCCTATAACACCTTGTCCCTAGATGGAGCTGGCTTTCCAGATAGAAACTATCTCAGCACTGGGACATTTCTGAATTGCTAAAAGAGTCTGTCGGCTGAAACAATTTGCTGATCCCCTAGGGAAGCCATTATAGAACCTTACGACAACTACATGTTAATGAGTTTATCCATGTTTTTGCCTGAAGTTGCTGTTTGTTCATTTTAATTGCTTTGCAGAATTCCACAGTGGATCTATACTATACTTTTAAATCCCTTCTTCTGATGGTAGATAATTGAGTAGTTTCCAATTTTGGCATGTAATAAATATTGCTTTTATGCTAATAATGAATTTTTATTTCATATACATGAAATTGTTGTATAATCAGGTTTAGAAGATAATGCCAAAGAGTTATGTAAAGTAGATTACCAAGTTACTCTCCTACAGGAGTTTCTGTTGCTCAAGATCCTCACCAACAATTAGTATTGTGAGACTTTACATATATATATATATATATTTGTATTTTTAGTGGTTATGGGGTTTCACCATGTTAGCCAGGCTAGTCTCAATCTTTGCCTCATGATCCACCCGCCTTGGCCTCCCAAAGTGCTGGATTACAGGCGTGAGCCACCGCACCTGGCCAGAGACTTTACATTTTTGTTAAACTGCTGATTGTGTGGTTTCTTTTTTTTTTTTTTTTTCATTTCTCTCATGACTAATGACATGAAGCACTTTTCATATGCTTTTGGACCATTAGGATTTACTCTTACCTGAAGAATGTACTCAAGTGTTTTGTCCATTTTTCTAATTGATTGTAATGAGCTCTTCATGTATTTTAAATACTAGTCTTTCGCAAACATTTTCTCCCACTCTGTTGCTTGTCGTTTTATTCTTTATGGTGCCATTGAATTATTATTATTATTATTTTTTGAGACGATGTCTCACGCTGTTGCCCAGGCTGGAGTGAAGTGGCGTGATCTTGGCTCACTGCAACCTCTGCCTGCCGGGTTCAAGCGATTCTCCTGCCTCAGCCTCCCGAGTAGCTGGGACTACAGGCGCCCGCCACCATGCCCAGCTAATTTTTGTATTTTTTAGTAGAGACGGGGTTTCACTATATTGGCCAGGCTGGTCTCAAATTGCTGATAATTATTTTTCAAAAATATATTTATAATGAAATTTTACACCTCAGAAAATGATTTGTTCTTTCATTTTAAGAGACTATGGTTCTGATTATTTGGAGGAAAGGCATTAGAAAAGATTACATATTCCATGGCACATTCTTCTGTAATGCTTGCAGTTTTATAATGATTATGTATTCCTTCATTCAACAAATATTTACTGAGCACCTAATGTATGCCAAGAAAGGCTCTAGGTCTTAGAGATCCATTACTGAACAAAAGAGACAAAGACTCCTGGCCTAATGGAATTTACAAAGGAGGACTCTATATTGCTTTTATTTAGAAAAAAAGCTACAAAAGACTCTGGTTTCTATCACACTTTCATTTTGCACTTTCAAATATCTATATATAAAAACAACATGGCACAGAACTCAGAGTAAATACTTGAAAAGATAAGCAAAAGCTTTTGGTCAAGAGTTGCTATTGATTTTTCCCTTATTTCAGCAGCAAATTTTCCAGAAAGCACACTAAAACGTCAGACCCCAGGCCTCTCAAACATATAATACAAAACCATATAAAATATTCATTTTAAAACACCTTAGTGTAATGAGCCATCTTAAATCAATGATGCAGGTAGTTTAAATGTGAGTCAGATTCTGGGCTGGCTTGTCTATAGTAATGATATTTAAATTTCATTTTGAGCCAGTAATACATACACAAGGAAAAATAAATAGATGAGCATGTACAATATATGGAATAAATATATCTCGCTTTCATTCAGGATCCACCTCCTCCAACCTACTTGCCCTCCACCACCACAGCCACAGTTAGCAGCTTCTTGTGTGTTCTTCAGAAGGTGTTGAATTATGCACAGACACATAGGGATTATGTATGTAGTTGTATGTTTTAACTGTTCTGCACTGCCAGGTTAATTCTGTGAGCGGAGGCTACAGATTTGGGGGATAGGAGGTTGTGATATCAAAATGACAAGTTCAGAACTGGGCCAGGTGAAGCTGAAAGGGGGTCCCTGAAAAAGCCTCTGCACTCCCAGGCTGGTTCCCTTGCTGGTGCAAGCAGCCTGAGAATTGCTGGGATGCCGCATGAAGGTGGCAATGCCCTCCAGTGGATCCCAGGCTACACCCCTCCCACCTCAGCCCAGGCTTCAGAGTGAACATTGATGTTGATGGCTTCACTTCACCCTTCTGTCCTCAAAAATAAAATAACTGCTGATGTCATGCCATGTCCACTTCCTTCTTGATTTCTGGGCACTTCCCTCTCCTCGTCACCCACCATTTTGCCTGTGGGATGTCACTGCCCTTCTGTGTGCAACCCCTTCCTTTGCCTGTCCTACATTCAGCATAGCTTTCCTGAGTGCAAACTTGAAGCAATTTCTTGTCTTCTGTTAGTTCCTGCTCTACCCACACCTTTGGTCTCCTATGCTTCAGGCTTCTTCACAGGCCCAACAGCCAGCGCTCTGAGAAAGGTGCCCAGGTCTATAAACTTGATCCCCCCAAGGCTGATGCTTGGGGGATCAAGTTTATACAGTGCATATTTTACAAATATCCCTCTCCCCTGTACTAAAAAATTCTCTCCAAAATAGGATTGCCAGTTTTAACTTTAAAAAAACGGGATGCTTAGTTCAATTTCAATTTCAGAAAAACAAGTGATTTTTTTAGCGTATATCCGATGCAATTATCTTTCATCTGTATTTAATCTGCCAGTTCTATTTCCAAACCAGTTGAGCAGTTAAGTTAAACAGTCCTTCTAATCTGCATGTCTTTGGCCTGAAAAACAAAGTTCTAATCCTCCTTTCAATGACTGTGGCCCATACACAGCAAAATGTCCCACCAATTTCAAAACTGGGCATTTTGAGTAGCCTTGGGTCAGTGCAGGAGGTATTTCAAAGCGGTTGCTAGGTGGCAGACCTCAACCCTGGAAAGCATTTTTCACATTCTATTAGTACTGCTGGGTGAGACTAGCTTGGTAGTCAGCCCAAATGTGTATGATTTAGAGAGCTTTACTTTGTTACCATTTTTTCTTCCAATTTAAAATCTATAGCAAAACCAGGTTCAAATAGCACATCTAAAAAGCTTTGTCTTTTGAGCCAAATGCCAGAATGTCTAGGTAAACACAGAACCAAGTAATCACAGGCTTCATTTATTTCAGCTATTTTTCTCTGCTGGACTTTTGAGGCAGATAAGACTAGATTTCTTCCAAACAGATCTGGGCAGGAGAAAACTTGAAAGTACCGGCTGGTCTTAAGTATCCTCACATGATTCTTGATATAAATTTACCTGGAAAACAGAGTGGACACAACAGATTTGTTCTTTTAAATCTTGAGTTTTTTGCAAACATTAAACTAGTTGTACAAAAGGAACAGTGTGACATACCTTTGTTCAAATTACTTAACAAACTTCATGAAACAAGAATTGTGATTCTACATGCTGTCTTGTTAACCAGAGAAAGAGCAGGATCCAGGAAAGGACAAAAAAGAAGAGAAATAATCAAAATAATAGTGATAGTGATTATAGCACCTCAACCCAATTTCCTCAAAAAGTACCAGAACCCTTAGAGCATGTTGATGCATCATGATTTCACCATTAAGATAGCATTAAGAGCAGACTCTAAATTAAACATAACAAAATTAAATAATATCTGCATCTTTGTTCAATAAAGTGTTCTCTTTAACTGTCTTACATCTTCCAGGCATTCAAGGACGGGAACAAAGCAAAGAATTACAGAAATTAAGAGCTGGAAGGAATTTTACAGTTTTTTCATTGGTGCTTAGATTTTGCAAAGAAATAATTTAAATGTCTGTTAATAGGAAATTTGCTAATGAATCATGTACTATTAGGTGAAACCATATGAAATTCCTGATATTTGACTGTTTTTGACTTACAAAAATGGCAATTTTATTTGATCTACCTAATGCTCTGCAGCTATTAAAAATATATGGTAGTTCTATAAGTATTGGCATTAAATAAATTGTATTTAAGGTAATTTGTAAGGAACAGAGGAGTGTTACAGGGTGCCAGTGTGTAGTATGTGTAGGGATATATATGCTTACTAATGTCTACCATACATCTGAATTTATAAAGTACAACAAACTGTTAACAGTGGACGCCTCTAGCGGGCCAACTTGGAAACTAGAGACAAAAGTGACAGAGACATTTTTACTTTTACGCAGTCCTAATTTTTACTACATACATGTATTAAATATTTTACAGCAAACACAAAACAAAAACCAAAGCAACAAGGAAATCACTGTTTAGAGAGGTAAAGCGTCTGTACAAACCATACTGTGAGCTCATACTAGAACACGTTGAACAAAGTGGCTGCTCAATTGCTTATCTCATTCCTACAATTCAAAGAACAAAAGCGAACAGCTCTTGGTGGCTGCCATTTGTGGGAACCACTCTACACTCTGACCTCACGGTTTACCTGGGATCTTAATTACTCTAGTTAAATGGGGACCTTCCCCCTCAAAACATGGTGTCACTGGAGGTTCAATGCATCACCTTTCAATCATTCTCACTGTGGTTGTGTGTGAACAGATTGCATGCTGCAGGCAAGGGCTGGGAGCAAGAAAGAAGCCCTTCTCCACTTGGTGAAGTCTTCTTGCCATTTGCCTTCCATCTGGCCATGGAGAGTCCTTGGAGTCATTTTCAACAAGTCCTAACCCTTTTCTCATTATGATCTTTACTCTTTATCATGGAGTTAAAAATAATAGAACTTTATTCTAATTATGTGCTGTTCAAGAGGGGGAAAATAAATTAGAATTCAGTTTTTTGTGCACTTATCCAGCTAGGTCTCCCCTACTCTTTGCCCCCATCCCCATTTCCTACTTTCCTACAACCATTAGACTGGCCACATTCAAATTATTCTAATCTATACCAGTGCTTCCCAAACTGTGCTTGAGAGGAGGAAATACTTCATGTTGCAGTTCAAGAAACTGTGGTCTTAGAGATTAAATGACTTGTTTTCATTCCAACAGTTCAAAAGTGGTAAACACAAACTCAAACCCAGCTTCCTGATGTCTAATCAAGTGTCCTCAGTCTTGAAACTAAAACTGTTTATTTCTCCCTTATCGTCCATCTACTGCCCTATTTTTCTCCTTCCTTTTACTGTCACAATTCCCACTGTTGCAGTTAAGTTCCTAGACTGTTTTCTACTTGTCTTCTCCATAAGCCCTGCCAGTTGGGTTCAGTGCCCACCAAGACTGAAGGTGCCAGTTGCAAGGGCACTAAGTGAGCAGCATCTTTAGCATTCAATGCTATCTAAGGTTGGTCTTTCCTGATACACCATGGCAAGAATCATCTGCCTATTTTCTTCATCACTGTACCCATAGCTAGCTGAGGGCGAGGTACCAACCACGAGTTGAATAAATATTAGGTGACTGACAGGGCTGCTGATATGACTTTCACTTCGGAAACTTCCTTTCTCAGGCTTTTGTGGCTTTCTTCCTACTTGGATGACATCCCTTCCTCCACCTCCTTTTCCTTATAACTTTGGGCATTTTCACCAATTGATCAATCTGTCCATTACTGAAGCAATACTGGAGAAAAAGAACCAGTCTGACGTTGGGGTGTTTATATATTATTTGTAAAAAGCATAAATACATAATGGAATCACAAACAATATAACAATATAGTGTAATAATTATGAGCCAGGCTGCATGGCTTTTTAACTCTCTGTGCTATACTTAATTTTCTTGTGTATAAATGGATTATGGTAGTAGCTCCTACTTCATAAGGTTGTTGTGAGGATTAAATTAAATAATACAGTTGAAGCACTTTAAAGAGGGTCTGTATACTGTAAGTGCTCACAAAATGTTAACATGTAAGATAATATATAAAGCATTAATAAGTGTTGTAGAAAGTCTCCCTTTAAGAAGTTTTGGAGGGGGCGGAGCAAGATGGCCGAATAGGAACAGCTCCAGTCTCCAACTCCCAGCGCGAGCGACACAGAAGACCGGTGATTTCTGCATTTTCAACTGAGGTACTGGGTTCATCTCACTGGGGAGTGCCGGAGGATCGGTGCTGGTCAGCTGCTGCAGCCCGACCAGCGAGAGCTGAAGCAGGGCGAGGCATTGCCTCACCTGGGAAGCGCAAGGGGGAAGGGAATCCCTTTTCCTAGCCAGGGGAACTGAGACACACAACACCTGGAAAATCGGGTAACTCCCACCCCAATACTGCGCTTTAAGCAAACAGGCACACCAGGAGATCATATCCCACACCTGGCCGGGAGGTTCCCACACCCACGGAGCCTCCCTCATTGCTAGCACAGCAGGCTGTGATCTACTGGCAAGGCAGCAGCGAGGCTGGGGGAGGGGCGCCCGCCATTGCTGAGGCTTAAGTAGGTAAACAAAGCTGCTGGGAAGCTCGAACTGGGTGGAGCTCACAGCAGCTCAAGGAAACCTGCCTGTCTCTGTAGACTCCACCTCTGGGGACAGGGCACAGTAAACAATAACAAACTCAGCAGAAAGCTCTGCAGACGCAAGCGACTCTGTCCTGACAGCTTTGAAGAGAGCAGTGGATCTCCCAACCGCAGTTGAGATCTGAGAAGGACAGACTCCCTGCTCAAGTGAGCCCTGACCCCGGAGTAGCCTAACTTCAAGACATCCCCACTAGGGAGCAGTCTGACACCCCTCACAGGGTAGAGTATACCCCTGAGAGGAAGCTTCCAAAGCAAGAATCAGACAGGTACACTTGCTGTTCAGGGAAATATTCTCTTCTGCAGCCTCTGCTGCTGATACCCAGGCAAACAGGGTCTGAGTGGACCTCAAGCAATCTCAACAGACCTACAGCTGAGGTCTGACTGTTGGAAGGCTATCAGGCAGGAAGGGACACCTGCATAAAACCCCATCAGTACATCACCATCATCAAAGACCAGAGGCAGATAAACCACAAAGATGGGGAAAAAGCAGGACAGAAGCAGAAATTCAAAAATAAAAGCGCATATCTCAGCAGAGCGCAGCTCGCCCGCCAGCAATGGATCAAAAAAGCTGGATAGGAGAATGACGGCGAGATGAGAGAAGAAGGCTTCAGTCCATCAAATTTCTCAGAGCTAAAGGAGAAATTACGTACCCAGTGCAAAGAAACTAAAAATCTTGAAAAAAGTGGAAGAATTGATGGCTAGAGTAATTAATGCAGAAAGTCATAAATGAAATGAAAGAGCGAAAACCATGACACAAAAATCGTGACAAATGCACAAGCTTCAGTAACCGACTCGATCAACTGGAAGAGAAAGAATATCTGGCGATTGAGGATCAAATGAATGGAAATGAAGCCGAGAAGAGAAACCAAAGAAAAAAGAAGAAAAAGAAATGAACAAAGCCTGCAAAAGTATGGGATTATGTAAAAAGCCTGCAAGAAGTATGGGATTATGTAAAAAGACCAAATCTACGTCTGATTGGGGTGCCTGAAAGTGACGGGGAAAATGGAACCAAGTTGGAAAACACTCTTCAGGATATCATCCAGGAGAACTTCCCCAACCTAGTAGGGCAGGCCAACATTCAAATCCAGGAAATACAGAGAACGCCACAAAGATACTCCTCGAGAAGAGCAACTTCAAGACACAAAATTGCCAGATTCACCAAAGTTGAAATGAAGGAAAAAATCTTAAGGGCAGCCAGAGAGAAAGGTTGGGTTACCCACAAAGGGAAGCCCATCAGACTAACAGCAGATCTCTCGGCAGAAACTCTTCAAGCCAGAAGAGACTGGGGGCCAATATTCAACATTCTTAAAGAAAAGAATTTTAAACTCAGAATTTTATATCCAGCCAGACTAAGTTTCATAAGTGAAGGAGAAATAAAATCCTTTACAGATAAGCAAATGCTTAGAGATTTTGTCACCACTAGGCCTGCCTTACAAGAGACCCTGAAGGAAGCACTAAACATGGAAAGGAACAACCGGTACCAGCCATTGCAAAAACATGCCAAAATGTAAAGACCATCGAGGCTAGGAAGAAACTGCATCAACTAACGAGCAAAATAACCAGTTAATATCATAATGGCAGGATCAAGTTCACACATAACAATCTTAACCTTAAATGTAAATGGACTAAATGCTCCAATTAAAAGACACAGACTGGCAAACTGGATAAAGAGTCAAGATCCATCAGTCTGCTGTATTCAGGAGACCCATCTCACACGCAGAGACATACATAGGCTCAAAATAAAGGGATGGAGGAAGATTTACCAAGCAAATGGAGAACAAAAAAAAGCAGGGGTTGCAATACTAGTCTCTGATAAAACAGACTTTAAACCATCAAAGATCAAAAGAGACAAAGAAGGCCATTACATAATGGTAAAGGGATCAATTCAACAGGAAGAGCTAACTATCCTAAATATATATGCACCCAATACAGGAGCACCCAGATTCATAAAGCAAGTCCTTAGAGACTTACAAAGAGACTTAGACTCCCATACAATAATAATGGGAGA